CTGGGCCTTCTCAAAGGGATGCCCCTGGCTGTCAGGAGATCCGCAGGCTCTTTCCTCATTCTTTTTGCAAGAACATTTACGTTCAGTTTCTCTCACTCACCCCACCTACACCTTTAAAACCTCTTCTTTGGAACAGCAGACTTCGCCTCCCACTCCAGACAGGTTTCTGTGCTAATCTTAATTTGGGAATAATCAGTACAAATTGGATTTTTATTCAGCACCTCCTACACCTCTCTATTAATTCCAGTACATTAACAAATACCAAAATATTCATGTAAAAATATTTCTCCCTTCAGAGAACATTGTTCCTTGTTCCGTGTTCCTCTGTTTAATGCCATCTGATCAGAGTTGACTATAGATTTAATTATTGTTTTACTGAAACCTGACATCTCTCTGTCAGACATGCAGGGAAAAGAGCTCAGGTTGGGGACTAGAGGGGAGATGGCTGTGGATGATGGTGGAGTACAGACGAACATGTAACCTCCTTCTCCGTACACTTAATAAGAAACAGACAGAGGAGGCACACCGGCAGAGGATCAAGGGGTCATGTTCAAGTAAGGCAAGGACTGAAACCTCTGACCACAAATGTGAAAGGCGTCATCAGAGATGGAAGTTTCTAGAACTCAGAGCAGTGGCTTTCTCCACAGCTGAGAAGCAGCATGTCTGCCATACATCTCACTCTGAAACCTGTACTTGGAGGGAACAGGTGTGGATAGGTGGGTGAGAAGCCTGACAGAAAGGTGTGGAACGGCCCTTCTAGGTGTGGAAGGGCCCTTCCTAAACAGGGGAGATTTTTGTCCTCCAACAAATGCTTGGCAATGTTTGGAGACATTCTTGGTTGTCACAACCAGGGGTGGGGATGGGGGAGTGCTACTGGTACTTAGTGGGTAGAAGCCAGGGATGCTGTGAAATATCCTACAGTGCCCAGGACAGCCCCACCGCAAGGAATATTCCAGCCCCAAAAGTCAATAGTGCCGAGGTTGAGATCCTGCTATAGATGTAAGAGCTCTTATCTTCCTTCTGGGGATAAATTGTATTCACTGGGAGTGGAGGAAATATTTTGTTTTTCTCTGACCATATTCCCTGTGTTTACTGGTTACTTGGACGGTATATATCAGCTCAGTGAAAACCCAGCTGTATGCTGTCTACAAAAAAACTCATCTAAAAGAGCAATTCAGATCAGTAAAATGCAAACAAAAGGAAAATGCATACAAATGCGTATCAGGAGAATGCAAACAAAAGCAGAAGTATATTAACATCAATAAAAATGTAAGATAAAAAGAGAAACACAAAAGGGGGAATTTCATACAGGTAAAATTTACGGTTTCCAATGAAATCCTTAAATACTAAGTAAAATAACATCAATGTAAACTTCTTAGAAGTTGCAAAAAAAAAAAAGGGAAATGAATAGATACAAAATAATAAGAGGAGGGCTTCCCTGGTGGCAGAGTGGATAAGAATCTGCCTGCCAATGCAGGTGACATGGGTTCAATCCCTGGTCTGGGAAGATCCCACATGCTGCGGAGCAACTAAGCCCGTATGTCACAACTACTGAGCCTGCGCTCTAGAGCCCGCGAGCCACAACTACTGAAGCCCATGCACCTAGAGCCCGTGCTCCGCAACAAGAGAAGCCACTGCAATGAGAAGCCCTCTCGCCACAACTAGAGAAAGCTCATGTGCAGAAACAAAGACCCAACACAGCCAAATAATAATAATAATAATAATAATAGGAGATGTTACATTAGTTTATGGTGGTTTTATGGTAGATAGATGTATATCACTTGGTTCATGGTAGACCTCCCCCATATAATAGACATAAACAATGAAACAAACACTACACCCAAAAAACAGACAATTCATCTCTTTTGCAAGGACCCATGGAACATTTATTTAAAAATATGATTAATATTAATATGACATACATCAACCAGTTTCAAAAAATGGAAAATATCATATTTTCCCATCAACAATCGAATAGATCATATTCCCTGATCCCAGTGTAATCAAACTATAAAGACAAAACATAAACAAAAAGCCTAACTCTGCTTACGTCTTAATCTCTTCCTTAAACACCTCTGTCGTAGAGGAGACCAAAGCTGAAATTCTGAAGCAGTACAGCTCCATATGGTAGCTACTAGCCCCACGTAGCTATTGAAACGTGGCGCCTGACACGTGGCTAGTCTGAATTGCTGTGACTGTGAGCACACTGGATTTCCAAGACTTAACATGAAAAAAGAATGTAAAATATCTCATTAATATATTGATATTTTTATTGCTTACATGTTTAGATGATAATATTTGGGGTATACTGGGTTAAATAATAAATATTCTTAAAATAATTTCACCTGTTTCTTATTTCTACTTTTTAAATGTGGATACTGTACACTGTAAAATGACAGGTGATGTCACATTATATTTCTATTGGTAGTTCTGCTCTAGAATATCCACAAAAATAAAATGTGATGACACAATAGACACTACATATTAAACACTATAGAATGTGGCTAAAGCAGTGTTTGGAAAAAATTACTAGCTTACATATCTATGCTACTAAGTAAGAAAGAATGAAATGAAATAAAATTAAGCAATTAATATAAGAATTTAGAAAACATAATTAAACTAACCTAAGGAAAGTAGAGGGAAGACACTAATGACAAGAAAAGCAGCAAGCAATTTAGAAGACAGAAAAAAAATGATACAGAGATTCAAGAACATAAATTGAAGATTTGCTGAAAAAATTATAAAATATAATAACCACTGCCTTACCTATTTTTTTTAAGTGGAGAAAACTCAAACAAAATTTGAATTAAGAAAAAAAAGAACTTAAATTTTAAAAAATGATTATAGAGTGATTTGCACAACCTCTGTGGTTAAACATTAGAAAATCTAGATAAAATGCATAATTTTCTAAAATAAATTATGTCATCAAAATTTAATAAAGAGGAGTCAGACCATGGAAGAAATTGGGAAAGGGACCTAAGACCTACCCCTTTCAACCATCCCACCTCCACAAGGATGAGGCTGGTTTCGTAGGTGAATTCCATCTGTACGGAAAATATAAGGAGTTATGATGACTGTTTAAAGGTTCGAAGGTGGGGATGTATGTATATGTATAGCTGATTCACTTTGTTATACAGCAGAAACTAACACACCATTGTAAAGCAATTATACTCCAATAAAGACGTTAAAAAAATAATAAAGGTTCTAAGGTACAGAACTCAATTGATAAAATCATAATAAAACTACTCTCTTTAAAAGTACTAAGTCCCTAGATTTCACAGGTAACTTCTTCCAAACCTTTGAGAAACAGATAACCACAGTGCTACTTAAACTGTTCCCAGAGACAGGAGAATCTCACCAAAACTTTACCAAAGCCTGAAAGAAAAAGGCGAAAGAGAAAAGAAAGACATCTACAGATCAAACTCAGTTATGACAACCAACGCAAAAATCCTTAATATAATATCAGCAAAGAGAAGCAGAAGACACTAAAAGAAAGATACATGAAGAGAGATCAATCTGAACAATGTAAGGATGGTTTAAAATTAGAAAATTTTCTGCTAAAGAATGCATTTCCTATCGTGCAACCTTCATTTCAGTTTGTATTTTATTTATTTATTTACTTATTTAAAATCTTAACCTTTTTTGATTTTTATGCGGAAGTTATTAGGACCACTTTAAAAAACTTTGTTTATTTGACTGTGCCAGGTCTTAGTCGCAGCATGTGGGATCTTTAGTTGCGACATGTGAACTCTTAGTTGTGGCAGGTGGGATCTAGTTCCCCAACCAGGGTTCGAACCTGGGTCCCCTGCATTGGGAGCATGGAGTCTTAGACACTGGACCACCATGGAAGTCCCTCAGTTTTTTTTTTTAATTAACAAAATAAATACTAATGGATATTTCCTTAACATAAAATATTATAATCTTCCATCCAAAAAGCTAGCACAGCTTAATGTGAAAAGCCAGAAACATTCCCGTTAAAGTCAGAAACAAGAACTCCCACTATCATATATGAGAAAGACATAAGAGGTACAAAACTTAGAAAGGAAGAGGCATCTGGTTGTAAAGTTTATGCCAAAAATCAAACCTTTACTATATTACAAATAATAACCAGTTAGAAAATCTAAGGGAAGAAAAGATGCCATTTACGATAGAAACATAAAAATACTTAAGAACAAATGTATTCATCAATGTTAGTACAGTCCTAACCTTATATAGTACAGTACAGTATAGTCCTAACCCTATGCTAAAAACTTCAAATTCCTATTAAAAGCTGCACAGATTATTTTAGTAAGTGAAAAACCTCCCTTGTTTTTCTTTGGAAGACTATTCAGTGGGGTAGTTTTAATTCCTGAATTTAATCTCTAAATTAGATGTGTTCCCAGCCCAATTACCAATAGATTTTTGTTTGGAATTTGAGCTATTAAAGCTAAATTTCATCTCGTAAAATAAACACATGATTGGAAGCAGAGAAAGGTCTGAAAAAGAATAACAAGTATGACTATGATACTATCAGGTATATTAAACCATTGTTTAAGGCCACAGACATTTCAGAGTAGGAATAAACCAAGAAATCAATGTAAGAGAGTCAAAAAATAAATTCAAGCACGTATGGGAAATGAGTATTTGATTAAAATGGCATCATTAAATTTATCAGCACGGATGGGGCATTCAATAAACTGCATTGGGAAAACTGGTTAGTTATCTGAAGGAAAAAAATGATTTATTACTGTTATCAAGTCCAAGCTCACTCTGCTCACCATGTGACAGGCCAATGAATCGGAGACAAGGTGTTGAGGCGAAGGAATACGACTTTATTCGGAAAGCCGGAAGACCGAGAAGACGGCAGACTAATGTCTCTAAATAACCGTCTTATCAGGGCCTGGATGCCAGTTTCTTTTATAACACAGAGACGGGGAGAAGGTGAGGAAGTAAAGTAAAAAGACCATAAGTCTTGCAAATATCCCCTGGAATGGCCAGCCTCTGGGAGAGGATGCGTTAATTTCTTCTTTCTTGCAGCCATCTATAGGTGGACAGGGTCCGGATGTTCCCCTGAACAAAGGCACTTTGGTTTAACATTCAGGCAGAGGGGCAGGGCTCCCCAAGGCAGGCCATTACGTATAAACAGTATCCTTTTAGTGAACAAAAGCAACGGGAGTAAAAGAAACAGATCTAACATGTAGCCAGATTTTGTTCTCCCCTGTGACATTACCTTATTCTTCACATGCAAAGAAATTCCATATGGATCCAAGAGTTATATACAAAAATGGATCTATAAAAGCTAAAGTAAGAGAATGATTACAGAATTGTCTGTATAATCTATGCAAACAAATTTTAAAACTTGGATTAAAACAAAGGTAAAAAAACTCCAAAAACCCAAAGGTGAATTTACCAGGTGAGTCCCAAAGGCTACGTTAAGCTCAGGTAGGTGGCCAGGTGGGAAGTGTGTTCCAGGACAAGTCTGGCCCCCTAAATGCCCTTCCTTCCACCGTCTTTTGTCAAATCTGTCCACTCCTCCAGGTGGGCCCCTGAAGCAGAAATGCAAATAATAAACATTAGGCCCAAAGTCGGCAGTATTATTATTCAAAAGACACCTTGAGAAAGGCAAACAAACCAGCTGTCAAAAAGGACTAGAAGTAAAGAGGTCAGAAAAATGAGTGATTACCGATGCATGCACGGGATGCTAGATGAATACCAGGCTTCGCCAGTTAGAAAATCCACAGCTAAGGAGAGCCCATTCACAGTAACAAAATATAGTAAGTACTTTGGAATAAACTCAATGCAGGATGTTTGTGACCGGGTAGAGAAAACCATAATACTTGTGATTCCTGCAGGAGAGCAGAAGGAGAATTGCATTTTCCTGGCAAGCAGGAGTAATATTGTGAAGATATCGACCCTCCTCATGTGTAGGTCACGTGTGGTCCAATTATTGATACAACGAATCTGGCTTTGTTGCAGCTCTCCTACATTTGCAGGCATCCTTCAAAGTTTCTTCTGCGCAGCTGACCAGGCTTTCTGAGATCTCAGAAAAAAGCAGAGGTAGACTCTGAGTAAATCTATGCTTGTTTAATCCAGTGGCTCTCAATTTCAAGCATTCAGTTATGGGGAGGCTTGTTAAAAAAACAGCTTGCTGGGCTCCACACCCAGATTCAATTCTTGGGGTGAGGCCCAAGAATTTACATTTCTATCAAGTTCCCAGGGGCTGCTGGTAGGGAGCCCTCCACCTGGAAATCCACGGAGTTAGTCAAATTCCTTAGAGGTCAGTGTAATGGGAAACTAGTAAAGCAGGTCTAGACTCCGAGGTTCTTAGGATTTCCCTTGAACTTGCCCATCACTGGACAAATTTCCAGCCTCATCCTTATGCCTTTTAACGCGAGGCAGGCCTGGCAAGGGGTCATAATTGGGTACCAGATGGCTGTCATTTACTGTCTTCTTCCTATCGGTGGGGAAGGGTTGGAGGGACAAGCAGGGAACAGGGTTGGCTCTGTATGTGTGTGTATATGTGTACGTGTGTATGTGCATGTATGTGTGTATGTGCATGTATGTGTGCACATGTGTATATGTGTACTGTGTATGTGCATGTATGTGTGTATGTATGTGTATGTGCATATGTGCATGTGTGCGTGTGTGTGTGTGTGTGTGTGTGTGTGACCACTTGAGATTTCAAGGCTTGTGGGATTTAGACACAAGTTCCCCAAAGTGCTAGCCCTCACATCCTCTGTGTACCCAGCAAGTCCTCATTTAAAGCTCCAGAACTTCTCATGGAACCTGACAAAAGAGTATGGCTGGAAGAATAAATGGCCAAGAAAAATAAATAATTCAGGTGGGGGTGGGAGAGCAGGGGTGGGGAAGATTTATCTGCCTGGTTATAAAAACCTATTTTAGAGCAAATAGTACTAAAAAAAACTGGAGTGCAGCTACAAAGAGAAAACTATATCTAAGTTATGCAGAAGAGGGCCAAGAATTAGACCAAATTATATGAGAGACTGTCATATATGATGAGTAAGCAATATGGAAGGGAACGCTCACTTAATAAATCATGCTGGAAGACTGAAGATTGAGTTTGAAAAAGGAATTAGATTTGTACCTTACCCTACTCACCAACATGAGAGTTAAATATTTAAAACTAAGAAATCACAGAGGAAAAAGTAGCAAATCAGAATGTACCATTTGCTGTACTTTGCAAGTATGGGGCGGGGAGGTGAAGGAAATAGCACTTGCTGAGTGCCTACTGTATACCACACATATATTACCTTATCCCATTAGGACTGTCAGCAGCCCTGTGAGACAGGGATTACCCTCAACTTTCAGATAAGGAAACTGAGGCACAGAGAAACCAGTTACTTTCTCAAATGGAGTGCGATCAGAAGCGCCTCACTCTGTCTGACTCCATGCCCTGTACTGCCCAGTTGCTGCCCACCAGCCCAAGGGGTCCAAGGGAGATGGGGTGCCTAGTTCAGTGCCAGCCCATTCCTAGATGGGCCTGGGGTGGTAGAAAGTGAAACAAGTCAGAACCAAGGTTGAGGACAAGGCAGCTGCACAGTGGTACAGAGTTGATGAGTTCAGCCAGGAGAACAGGGGCAGTAAGTGCGTTCCAGGGGCCACCTGCCTGGAGTTGGGAAGCAGGATGAATGGCTGGGTCCCAGGAAAGGTTGGGATGTTTAATGTGGTGACATAGGGGCACACAACAGCCATAATTTGTGGTCCATCCCTACTCCTTCCTTCTACCAGACATAACCTTAACTCCCCTTCCTAGGGGCCTGGAGAAGCCACGTGGTATCATGAAAGAGCAGGTGCATGAGAGGTCAAGAAAACTTGAGTTTAATTGTGCTTTGTCGCTTTCTAGGTGCATGGCCTTGATCCAGTAACCTAACCCCTCTGAGCCTTAGTTTCCTAATTTTCACATCAGGGTGCCCACCTCACAGAATTCATGTGGGGATTAAATGGACAAGTCAGGTAAAGCGTTAAGCATAATAAATGGTGCAGAGTAGGTGATCAATCGATATTTATTGAATAAGCGAATTTATACATTTGCTTAACGTGTGTATTTATTCATTAGCTCTGAAGAAAACTTGAAGTCCAGGGAAAGGAGGTTTATCCAGCTAGTTCTGCTAGGTAGGCAAGAATTTCACATTCTCCCAAAACATTCTAATTTGGGAAACTGGGTCAAGCCATATCACTGTGCGTTAATTATAAGTTGTGATTCTAGCAACCTGTGGAAAGATGAGAAAATGGTCCAGCGCCTGCATTTCCCACAGCAACAAATGTGCCTCTGATGACACTTCCATAATCGCCACCCCTTCCAATTGCATACATCTTGGCAGCTTACAAAGAAGTGCTCACACCCAGGGTGACAGAAACCCACCTTCAAGGAAGGTCATGTCATCCCATTTTGTGGATGAGGAGATTAAGGCTCTAGGAGGTGCAGGGACCTGCTCAGTGGTTGGCGGCAGAGCTGGAGCTGGAATCCCCAGATGTGCATGAACTGATCATCACTACGGCATAGGCTTGGTTACCTTGTTACAGGAGTGAAGGGTGATGCTATACAGTGTCCTGCTTGCTTGCATCTGCCTCTGTCTCCCCTGAGGCCCTCATGTGGATCTGAGGTTCTGAGGATCCCATCTGTACATCTTACCCCATCCCCATTCCAGAGCCAATTTGGAAGGAGACAGAAGGAGTGCAGCAGCCTCAATCCTGCAGACTTACGAGGCCATAGGAACTTCGCAGCCCATGATCTAGCAGCACAGCCTGGTTGCTTGAACCCATGCTGGAGCTGCAGAGATCTGGCCAGAGAACTTGGGTCAAGTCCTGCCCAGGGCTAGGGGTGGTGATGTTTGCCTGGAGTGACAGGCTGTTACACAGGTGAGGAAGAGCCTGCTCTTTAGTAATCACCTCTACGTGACAGGCTCACACATTATCAATAATTCCCACAGCATCTTGTGATACTATCATCGTCGCACTGATGATGGAACAGTACCTTGGAGAGTGAGATCTTATGCAGCATCTCGAAGTGGGTAGTTGTCTAAGATTCAAACCCAGCTCTGTTTACTATGATCCCATGCCCTTCTCAGCAAGGTCCCTGTCACAAGTTGGACTCTGATATCCTCTATGCTTTCTGGAGAGAAATGGGTCACAGCCTTTGATTACGAATGCCATTGGGAAGGTGGGAGTCAAACGTAATGCTCTGTTTGGATCCATAACTGGTACCTACTCAACTGTTGGGTTCCTGTAGAGCCTGTGCAGACGGAGCAAAGCCTCCCTCCTGCATCCTGCACATGCGTAGGAGGGTAAGACCAACAGGCAGAACCAGACTGGAGTCTGGAGCACCAGTAGCCATAAAGACATCTGTGGGGACCCCACATGGGACACAGCACCTGCTACCTCCAGAGACAGGGAGCTGTGATCTTGCTCCCTGAAGGCTTTCCCAGCCTGCCTCTTACTCTTCCTCCCTGGGGCAAAAGGGAGAGTCTGATACACATGAGGAGATTGGAGAAAGAGCCTGAGATTGCACCCACCAGCCACTCCCAAGCGTCCTCCCCTTTGACCCCCCTGCACACGAGCACCTGTTTCCCCCCTGGTCCACCCCTCCATGCTGCTGACCATGGCGGGCTCTGCCCTGGTTGGGATGTACCCATAGTTTGAAGTGGGTAAGCCCAATTCAGAGGAAAGTATTGGGAAAACAGACTGTGTCTGCAGAGTCAAGATGCTTTTCCAGGTGAGCTTTCCCAGCTATCGATCTGGCTCTCTGAAGCCTCCTTTGTCATACTGCTGGGGACCCACGGGGGAAAGGGCTGGATTGATTTCCATCTTTGTGGTTAGTGATAAGCCCTGAAATTCCATTGTGAGAAACGTGTGAGGAGGAGAGAAGGAAGCAGAGGTGGCACACAGGCAAACATTCACGTCCTGCAGTAGTTCCTGCCCCTGAGATAGTTGCTGCTCCCCGGCTCCCAAACTCCTCACTGTTTCACCAAACACGTCCAGGGGGGTCTGGTGGTCCCAATTCAAGCTCCGTCCACGCGTCCAGACTCCTCTCCCATGTGCTCTGACCCACTTGGTCAGTACTAGCACTGTACCCAGAATACCCCTGCTCAATTCCTGCATCTGTGGCTTGCTCCCTGCTGGCAATGCCAAGGTTAAATAATAGAATCTGGAAGGAGCTGTGGAGGTCACGTTGCTCAGCCCTCCTTCGGGAGAAGGGGCCATCGGAACTTGCTTCCATGTCTTGCTGCTGGGAGCAACCTCTCCTGTAACTTGGCATTTCTGTTTCTTTTACATTTTTATTTTTTTTTAGACAACAAGGCATCTGCCTTCTTGCTACTCATGTCTGGTACAGGTGTCTTCTTTGCCACCTACACACATTCCAGGCAGCCCTCCCTGGGCACTTCAACCTTCTGATCCCTCGTGCCATAGGAATTAGGTGGTGTTTTATCATCATGCAGGCATGAAACAAGCACTGCTAGCTTCCTTTGTCTGCTCTCCTGGGTGCCTTTAGAACACGTGGTTCTAAGCTCCTTGAGGCTGAGGCTGTGCTCGAGCCTGGCACACAGGAGGTGCCCAGGAAACCTGTGAGTTGTCTGGGCCCAGCAGACATGTCAGATGGGATTGCTCGGTGGGCCATGCAGAGTCCTGTTTGTTCATTGCCCACCGAGGGTCTTCTGTGGGTCAGCCCAGCCCTGAACTTGCTCACCGCCTAAAGGTGGAAACTGACATGCACACAGAAAACTACAACACAGTGTGCTGCCTGCTAGGAGGCGTGTTGGGGATGCTGAGGGAACGACGGGGGGAGCAGTCATCAGGCCAGCACTGGGGCGAGCTGAGCCCAGAGGGATGAGCAGGAACTCGTTGGTTGGTAGCGGCAGGAAGGGCAAGCAGCAGGGAGCACAGGGCCGGAGAGGTCCGGCTTCCCACTCTCCACGGCCTCCAACGTGGCCTTTAAGCTAACATCAGGCAGACAGCCACAGAGATACACTGACGGTTCTGAAGGAAGAAGGCCATCATACGCCTGTCAACCGCTGTTTTATA